AGATACCTCATTCCCCCTCTCTTGGGGTTCCCACAATTGCTTCCACGTCATCCTGCCACACTGGGTAACTAACCTTATGAAGATCTGTCTCCTCTCCAGACTGTTTCTTTGCCTACTTCCTCCTTTCTTGTCACCAAAGGGCTTGACAAGGCTTCTGGCACCAAGAAAGCAGCCCTGAAAGGCTGTGCGCCTCTTGGGCCTTCTTTCTTCTCGCCAAAGCTCTTGTGTATTGCATCCCTTTAGACTTCAGTAGCTCTTTTTAAAAAGTCTTTGCCTGTAGGAACAGGGCTTCATAGGGACATGCCCACTCCTCCCAAGCTCTGTTGATGCCAACAAAAGCATTTTGCATATTGCTACCAAAGCTTACAGGAATGCAATCTCTCTGCAAGTTTCAGCAAGGAAACAGCAAATGGAGGAAAGGCCTGAAGGACCGAAACCTTCCATCTGTTTGAAAATATCCAGGTCTCAATTCACAGAGAATAGAGGCCTAAAGTATGAGATCACATGAGACCAGTAGCACAAGATCTCATGCTACTTATATCTCGTATGATCTTGCGGTACATTAGGCCTATCTTCTCTGTGAATGCAGTGAAAGCCTGAAGCAATGAAGCAAGCAAAGAAAGCACAACGGAGAGATCTTTGCAAGGTAACTGACTCTCCAAACTGCGTGTGAATACCTGGTCGGGAGGGGGGATAGGCGGGGTCTTGTTGCAGAGCCACCCTTTGTAAGGGTGCTGCAATATTCATAATTTCAGGACTTTTTTGTAAACACTAGGGGGTGCTTATTACATAACTTCAAATGTTGGCTAAAGGAACACCCTGGGATTATCTGTATTACCTGTATTTTAATTTGCATTCCTAACCTGTCATTTATGTTCTTTTTTTTATGAATTGAATCATGTTTTCTTTTCCAGAAAAAACCCACATGCAAAGTATCTTCTTTATACCTTCTCCCCACTTCTTATACTCATGTGAATTAAGGAGGTGTCTGTCTGAGCCTCTTCTGAATAGGATCCCTGTGCTGTGGACTTGAGAGATGTTGCATATCTCCCAAGGCATTTTCTTCAGTCTGAGCATAGGGAGGGCATATTCAGTCATGGAAAGTCCCCAGTGATTATCCACACAGACCATATAGCAGTGATGGCTAATCTTTTTTGGACCAAATGTGCATGCATGCCCCAGAACCCCCAAAATGAAATGAACATACGGCCCACCCGCCTGTGCATGCGCACACAGCTCCCTCATGTGCCCCACCCTTACACATACCCAACTCCCTTCATGCACCCCACCCCCTCACACATGTGCACCCATCCCCCTGCATGTGCCCTGCACCCCACACATGTGCAGTAGAGATCTGACAATTAGCTGGCTGGCAGGAGTCATGCACACATATATGGTGCAGCTGAACTGGGGTGAGGGCTCACGTGCCCACAGAGAGAACACTGCATGCCACCTGTGGCAAGTGTGCCATAGGTTCACAATCACAGCCATAGCAATCCTGAGACCCAAATAGTTGCACCCTAATAGTTGTGAACTGCTTAAACTCTGGTTGTGAGAAAATATTTACACAAGGGTGAATTGAGCCAACGTGGGCACGGGGAAGAATCAGACAGGTCAAGATGTTTACATTCCCTGACCATATTTCACAGAGCACATAGTTGCCATGCTGACCTTGTAGTTTCCCAAATGGGATTATCAAAAATAGTCCAAAATCATGCTGTACTCAATAGGGTACTTGCCTGTTTCTATTGTTGTGGTTCGCCACCAGCCGGTGCCAACGGCAGTGGAATTGGGCAGTGAGGAAGAAATGGAACCAGTCAGGGAGTCTGAAGAGGACTTGGACAAGGGACCTGCAACTGGTCCAGGGATGGGGCCAGGACCATCTGGGAGTGGGGTGCTGTCTTCGGAGCTTGGTAGCAGCAAAGCAGAGGACCCGGGGGAGTGTCAGGCTACAGAACTTTTTCCCATTCAATTAACAAGAATGAACTTCTGAAAACCAAACGTATCAAAAGGAATCCTTTATTGAGATGAGACAATTCTTGTAGGAGTTCAAAGCAGCGTCTAAATCTCTCAGGCATACAGGGATAAGGGAGTTTAGAACCCCTCCCCTTATCTCGATGTGTATTTAGTAAAACAAAAACCAGTATGTTAATTCCCCCCACCCCTTTTGTAAGGAACAATCTTTTTCACAGTTTCCCAGGGCATATCTCACTGTGGAATTTTTATGGTCTTCTCATCTCCTGGCTGTGCCTCTTACAGGTGATAGGTTCTGGCCATCTGGGTTTTCTCCATTGTATCATGTGTAGGTTATATAAATTCAATATAAGATTAAATATATTCAGGTTACATCAAGAAAGGATTTCTTTATCAGTCTCGTCTCCCCCCACCCTGCTTTTCTTCTTCCACCGAAGAAATGACAGATACACGGATCTGACAGGGAGCCTGTTTCCAGTGTGCATGTCTGCAGAGCTGCTAAAAGGCAAGAGCAGCTGAAACTGAAGGGGCGACTCAGGAGTAAGGCTGGGAGTTGATTGCCCCTCCCATAAGGGATAAAAGTCAGACTTCAATGATGAACTCTTTGCAGGAAGCAAAGTAGTTCAATAGATTCCGAGTCTTCCTTGAAGCTGTGTACTCTGGTTGGTTTTTTCTGGTACTTCGGTTGGTTTCTGTTATAATTAATTTGGATACTTCTGGTTTTGGCAGAATTCCACAGCACTGACAAGTGTGTGCTTATCTTGGGAAACTATTTAAGATTAGATCTGGCTGAGAATGAAAGTCATTCCCAGTGTTACATTAAAGTAGGTTTTGTTTTTAAAACAAGTTTGTGTTTAATTATATTTGACGAAGCCTAGGTCAGAATATCTATATCTCTGTAATGTAGTGGACCAACTGTATATAAGCTGCAATTCTGCTTTAGGTCAGGGCTTCTCAGCAAGCTGCCAATGCTGTGCTGGAATCCAGCATGCAGTTATTGTTTGCATGCTTAAATAAGTTGAATCTTCCAAGGTTGGTTTAGATGAGAAAGGATTTGGACACAATATTCCTTTCCTTGATACATCTCCCATTTCTCTCTCTTCCACCCAATTGAGTGCCAGGGAGTAGTCAGGTTGCTCTTGCTGCCTGCGATGTCCGCAGGGGTGTATCTGTGTGTGTGTCTGTCTGCGATGTCCGCGGGGGTGTATCTGTGTGTGTCTGTGTGTGAGCGACAGAAAAGAGAGAGAAAACACCCTGAAGGAAATGACATTTCATGTGTTGCTGTCAGGAAACTGTAACGACTGCTGTAATGACTAACTGCTGTGATGACTAATCCTTTAAATCACCAGGCATTGAGTGCCACTCCAAAAAGACTTGGGTTAATTTTTTCTGCAGCATAATTTTGGAGGAAATGGACTGTTCATCTGATTGGGGACTTACGGCTTTTCAACCCGCCCTGTAGAGCATCCCCTCTGACTTTTAGGTTGGCTTTATTTAATTTTGCTAGATATTGTTATATGCCCTTTGAGAAATTCAGAGGCTTTGGGAACACTGCATTTCAAACTCCTAACCATAATGAGACATGATAAAAATGTGCACTAAAATATAACACCAAGGAAACAGAAAAAGAAAATAGATTAAGCACAATTTTACTATTTTAAATTTTGGAAATTTTGCATATATTTAAATTTGAAATCACTTGGACTTAAGACTAAGGCCAAGAGCCTCTTGGTTTCTCCACATGCCTGGCCTGGTCCTGGTTGTTGGGTGTCCTTCAAAGGGATCACATGTAATGTGACCTACTAAAAATATTGTAACCTGTCTTTCTGAACTTCGTTGGTAAAATAAAGAATGTTGGAATTCTATGGTATCTTCTAATCCAAGCAAAATCAGGGTAATCCATCTGCATTATCTAATGTACAATTTTTTTTCCTCACATCTCCCCACCAAGGCGTAAGGAAACCACAAAAGGATCAGTCCCTTGGTGCTGATCTCACCCACCAGCCATCAAAGGCTAAAAACAAAGATCATAGCAGGAGTTGCAAATAAACCTGGAGGTTTTATGCTCAAAACCAATCCCCTTTCTTCTCAACTCAGTATTCCTACAGCTCATTTCCATGAAGGCCCCTGCAAGGTAGAACAGCCTTTATATCTGAAAATTTACATTGGTTTCGTCACTGCCCCAAATTCCCCCAATATACTTGCTATTCATATGGTATCTTCCACTTGCGTGCCTCATTCTCGACACAATCTGAACAGTCTAATACCATTACATATTTACCTACAAAAAATGGGCAAATCCTTAGTAGTCAATTAAGCAATCTCAGCTTGAGTTACAATGGGACATTAGAAATGAGATTCAAACCTTCTCTACACTTATCACTTGGGGCCTCGTGTGGATTTTCATGTGTGCAATAAGGCTGGAATGTTTCCTGAAGCACCATCTACACTCGAAACACTCAAGTGGTTTCTCTCCTGTTTGTATAAGCATATGATTTAGAAAGCTAGTCCTAATACTGAAATCTTTCCCAGTCTGGACACTCATATGGTTTCTCTCCTGTGTGAGTTCTCTGGTGTCTCACCAGGTTGGAATTCCGACTGAAACTTTTCCCGCAATCAGGACACCCAAAGGGTTTCTCTCCTGTATGACTTCTCTGGTGTATCATCAGCCAGAAATTCTGACTGAAACTTTTCCTACAATCAGGACATTCAAAGGGTTTCTCTCCTGTGTGAGTCCTCTGGTGCCTAACCAGGCTGGAATTATCACTGAAACATTTCCCACAATCAGGACATTCAAAGGGTTTCTCTCCTGTGTGAGTCCTCTGATGAGTCACCAGGCTGGAATTTTGACTGAAACGTTTCCCACAATAGGGACATTTAAAGGGTTTTTCTCCTGTGTGAATCCTCTGGTGGGTAATAAGGTTGAAATTGCTACTGAAACTGTTTCCAAATCAGAACATTCAAAGGGTTTCTCTCCTGTGTGAGTTCTCTGGTGTTCCACCAGTTTGGAATTCCTACTGAAACTTTTACCACAAACTGGACATTCAAAGGGTTTGTCATCTGTGTGAGTCCTCTGGTGTCTAACCAGGCTGGAATTATCACCGAAACATTTCCGACAGTCAGGACATTCAAAGGGTTTCTCTCCTGTGTGAGTCCTCTGGTGTTGAACCAAGCTGGAATTGTGACTGAAACTTTTCCCACAATCAGAACATTCAAAGGGTTTCTCTCCTGTGTGAGTCCTCTGATGTTTCACCAGGTTGGAATTCTGACTGAAACCTATACCAAAATCATGACATTCAAAGGGTTTCTCTCCTGTGTGAGTCCTCTGGTGTTGAACTAAGCTGGAATTGGTACTGAAACTTTTCCTACAGTCAAGACACTGAAAAGGTTTCTCTCTTGTGTGAATCCTCTGGTGTCTAACCAGGCTGGAATTATCACTGAAACATTTCCCACAATCAGGACATTCAAAGGGTTTCTCTCCTGTGTGAGTCCTCTGATGAGTCACCAGGGAGGTATTCTGACTGAAACCTTTCCCACAATAGGGACATTTAAAGGGTTTCTCTCCTGTGTGAATCCTCTGGTGGGTAATGAGGTTGGAATTGTGATTGAAACTTTTCCCACAGTCAGGACATTCAAACGGTTTCTCTCCTGTGTGAGTCCTCTGGTGTTGAACCAAGCTGGAATTATCACGGAAACATTTTCCACACTCCGAACATTTATACATTTTCTTCCTGATATAAGTCCTCTGGTGTGTCACAAGGTTGGAATTCTGACTGAAACCTTTACCACAATCAGGACATTTAAAGGGTTTCACTCCTGTGTGAGTCCTCTGTCTGATTTAGTGGTGATTTCCTTCCTCCCAGACCTAGGCCTGGAACACTGTCTGCTCTACGTGGCTTTCCAATTGTCCTTTTCCTCCCCAATAACTTCAAGATACTTCTCTCTTTTGCTGATTGGAAAAATAATCTCTTGACTTTCCATGTAATTTTTGCTTGAATTTCACACTCTAGTTGTCCCTGGTAGAAATCTCTTCTTAATTTTCTCTCGTTTCTCTCTCACCTGCTGAGGAAGGTGAAGGAAATGGAAAATATTTTGATTTCTGGACTGACTTGATTGTCTGTTCAAGGTTGCTTGTTATCCTCAGTTGTCCATAGTGCTCTTATTGCCATCCTCTGTCTGTAAGATTCAAATAAAAGGATGTCTTTAATTGTGCATAAAATGGTTGCAGAAAATGAGAAAAAAAGATAAAGGTTTATGTTACAATGACAAAGCAAACATGCCACAATGCTCCAATAAGCTCTTACATTAATCATGATTCATTTGAGAAGTGGAAAAATTCCCAGATCCAAGTTCAAATATCCACTGAATGACGAAATTCATTTGTTGAACCGGGTCAGTCACAAATTCCTAGCGGTGCAAAAAGTTCTTTTCAAAGACAGTCAAGTGAAAAAGAAAGAACACCCACTTTTTTCTACGGTTTTATTTATCAGGGTATCATAAATATGATCGCAACAGAACAGAATAACAGGATTGGAAGGGACTTTGCAGGTCTTCTAATCCAGTCTCTGCTCAAGCAGGAGATTTTACGCCATTTTACACAAGTGGCTCTCTCATCTCTTCTGCCAAGCCTCCAGTCATGGAGCACCACAACCTCTGAAGGCAAGTCGTTCTGCTGGTTCATTGTTCTCATTACCCCACCCCACCTTATAGATACACCCACTCTTCTCGCCTCATCTTTTTTGGCCACTCAAGCCTGGCTCCCTCGCTTGCTTGTCAGCCTTTACCAGCAAGTTCCTGTGCGGCCCAGGCTCTGGCTGCCTCTGTCATGCCCCTGTTGGAGTCTTATTCCAAGGGAGAGGAGGAACAGCTGACAGGGAGTGTAAGTGTGGCTCCAGAGGTTGTGGAGGAAACTGAAGAATGGCACAGGCCAGCTGGGCAGTCAGAGGAAGACCCAGGCCCTCTTCATCCTAGGGCACACAGGGAGGAGATAGCAGTGATACATTTGACGAAAACCAAACACAGCATATCAGCACAAGCATCTCATACAAGCTGTCAACAATGGAGGTGAAGGGGTGATGATTTGGGCTTGTTTTGCAGCCGCAGGACCTGGACACCTTGCACTGTTTGAGTCGACCATGAACTCCTCTGTATACCAAAGTATTCTAGAGTTAAAAGTGAGGCCATCTGTCCAATAGCTAAAGCTTGGCTGACATGGGATTATACAACAGGACAATGGTCGCAAAACACATCAGGAAATCTACAACAGAATGGCTGAAAAAGAAAAAGATCAAGGGGCTGCAATGGCAGGCAAAGTCCAGACCTCAACCCGATTGGCGGGACCACAAGACAGTTGTGCATAAAAAAAACACCCACAAACTTCAATGAACTCAAGCAATGTTGTAAAAAAGAATGAGCCAAAATTCCTCCACCATGCTGCAAGAGACTCATAAAGTCACACAGAAAAGAATTACTTCTAGTTGTTGCTGCTAAAGGTGGTTCTACAAATTATTGAATCTTACATTTTTCACACGCGACTTCTCCGTCTTGGCTTTCTTTTTATAAAATAAATGATGATTGAATGTAATATGTCATGTATTGTTGTTCATCTTTGGTTTTAAGAACTTCTAAGGACCAAATGATTTTTACTACACCCAGAAATATAAAATCATAGAAGTCAAGGAGAGTATTTTCTTTTTGACATGACTGTATATCTGGAAGTCCTGGGGAGAGATAA